CCTCCCCTGTCCCATAGTGTTCTCCCCCCTTCCCTGTCCCATAGTGTTCTCCCCCCTTCCCTGTCCCAAGGGCAATATTATTGACTTTTCATGTTATTATTAACATCTTTCATTGTGATATATAATCATCTGAATTGTTCTACTTCCAGGTAGTCTACGCGTTGTCTGTTAAACTCAGCAAAAAAAAAATAAAAAAAATTTTTTTTCTTTCGCAAATTTGACCCGTCTTCGGCTGAAACGGGATAGGTACCTTTTTCGGTGCATCCCTATTGTGTATGAGTGTGTGTATATATATATATATATATATATATATGTCAGTGTGCTTCTGTGTCTGTGTGTTTTTATGTCCGTGTGTGTATCTGTGCCATGGTGTGGGCATGTATTAATGTTTGTGTATGGCAGGGTGCATGTGTGTATATGTTGGTGTGTATCTATATGTGTGTATGTGTCGGTGTCTATATGAATGTGTGTATGTGTCAGTGTATGTATATGCATCTGTGTGATATCTGTTTTAGTATGTATGTATGTGCATACTACATCCAAGCACTAAACACCAGCACAACATACAAGCACACGCCTGCAATCTAGCACAAATATTACATACAAACACACCCCTGCATTTAAACTCAAAAACATATATACAAACACACCCCTTCACTCAAACACAAATACTTGGCACAAATTTTCATCCGCATTTAAAAGTAAACATTACATTCAGACACACTCTTTTTCCAACTTTGACCCCCAAAATCTGTTACGCATCTACAAATAGTTTCTAAATTTTGTCTTGAGTTTAGAAAAACCCAATGTTAACATGTTTTTAGCTTTTCTTTTTTTTTTTGCAAGTTATAGGGCAATAAGTTCAAGTAGCGCTATTTCCAAACCATTTCTTTCAAAATTAACGAATGTTACATTGTAACACTGATAATTGTCAGGAATCCCTGAATAATCCTTCACATGTATATATTTTTTAAAAGAAGACAACCTATGGTATTAAACCTGGGGTTATTTTGACTCTTTTCATGCAATTGTACCACCAATCTATGCCAAAAAAAAAAAAGTAATAATTGGTGATTTTTTTGACACACATAGCAATTTAAGAATACATGTACGAAGAACTGTAAGGATTACTGCCAAAGAACACCCCAATATGTGTTTAGCAATATCTCCTGAGTACAGTGATATCACCCATGTAGAGGTGTGTCAGGTTGGGGGCTAAAATATCTTATTTGGAGGGTGTGCATTCCAGTTTTCCAACATTAAATTTTAACATCTGGTCATCATGCATCCATTGTCAGGATTACTAGTTGATCCAGCACGTAGAATTATGTCACACCTAGGAATAAGGATAACGTCTTACCGGGCCTTAGAATGGCCAAACTTAACATACCTGAGAATAGTCAGAATACTTGCCAAGGTCAGGGACACAGAAGGAGACAATGATGATGGAAAGCCAAAAGTCAGGGATACCAGAATACAGGGAAGTCAAACAAAGCCAAAGTCAATAACCAGAAATAAACGTTCAGGAACACACTTTTGGACAATCACTAACGGAAACCACGACAGGGCAATGAGGAAAAGATAAAAGGAGTTTAAATAAGCCTCCTTCAGATCCGAATGGCCGTATCCGGCTTTGACCCCAAAATGTGTGTGTGCGTCCTTTACGTGACGTCACACGCACGCCAATGTCAATAACGTGGGCGGACGTAGGGTTAAAAATTGGTGTGGATCTATAGCGGCCGGTGTCCACCAACATGCTGCAGGAGTAATATACATTGATGCATGGCCGCTGAACGGCACTAACGCATTTGTTAGGAAGGCAATTACTGCAGATACCGCAAGGTGAGGATGAATATGTTACACCCATGTCCTATTTGGGACATTTTTTTAAGCCGGCCAATGTAATTTACCACCATCAAATCATATATTTTTTAAAGGTAGACTCCCTAGAGTATTTTAACACTTTCCACGCACTAATTCTACCCCCAGTCTTTGTCAACCTTTTGAGTAGTCATTCTTTTGTGTTTTTCACACACATTGTACTTTAGGCATGGATTCTTAGTTCCTGTTATGTGTTACTGACAAAGAACATACCAATATGTGTTCAGCAACATCTCCTGAGTACGCTGAATAGGTTTGTTGGGTTGTTTGGGGGGTGCAACGCCAAACTTCTGACGTATTTTTCAAATTTACATATCTTCTTTGCCTATCTTATTTTTGGCGGCCTTTTTACATATGCCAATTTATTTTCTTGCCATGAATGTGCATATATTTGAAAAGTTGACAACCCAAGGTTTTGTATATTCAGTGTTTTGATGCCTTTGATGTAACTGTTTTAGCCCCAAACAATTGGAGAAAGTGTGAGGTGATAATTTTTCAATTCTCATTTTTACACACACATTGCTTTTTTGACTGTGATTTAGGAGAGCCTGTTGTTGGTTATTGCAAGACAACACTACAGATTGTTTTCTGCATGGCCTTCTGAGTACACTCATGCCCCCAAGCATAGGTTGTACTTGATCATAAAAATAGTCTGGCACAGTAAGAGTAAACAAACTCACAAACTGTAAACATAACCAAAAAACACAAAAAACTGAACAGTAAAAAAATAAAAATAAAAATGTAAAAAATAAATAAGAAATGGACCAGTGTGTGGTATTGCTTGAAGCAGTCCCCAATGCAGAGTCCAGGCCAATCAGGACAGTAAAAGACTGTGTCCTTTATTTGCCCCCATCTTTGAGGATTCTGATTTGCATAGTTGGGGGAATTTTAAAAATAAAGTGGGTAGTCCCAACTCTGCTCTCTCCCATCACCGCCCGGGGAGCAGGTGCATCTTGGTACAAAATCCATGGAATGATCTGGAGATGAAACTGTAAAAAAAGAGAGTTTCATTCTGGGATTTGCATTTTTGCGCAACAAAAAAGCATTGTGGGTTGCAATCTGCATTAAGTAAATTGCAACCTTTTTGTACCAGGCCCTTGTCTGCCAGATCAACCCCACCCATATGCCGCTTATAGGCCTTGATCCACACTGGCTTCCTTGTGCTCTCAGCTCTGTCACATACAGAGACCTCCACAGTCCTCTCAGTGTGGATGGTGGTAAGTAGGTACACATCCTTCTTATCTCTGTACTTACCCGCCAACAGGTCCTCTTGGCGCAGAGCTGAGGTCTCCCCCCCTTCGTAGCTGGGTGCGCGCAAGTTGTCCTGGGAAACCTGTGCAGTTCTTTCTGATGGTACCGCAAGCTACTCTATTAAAACAATACAGTAGCTTGAACAAAGGGACACTTGTATAAAAACTGTCTATATAAAAGTGGTACCCTTTGTTCATCAGGGGGAATATCAGGTCCCAGACAATCTCGCCACTGGTTCCCATATGTTCTGGGCTATCCTTTCCCTCGTACACCCGGCCTGAGTATACCCAGTCTCGCTTTTACACCATACCTACAGTGCTTGGAAGGAATATAATACTTGAATCCCAGCCTTCCCTTATTTATTTCATCAGGGATTCATCCACGCATATATTCCTTCCAGGTGTATAAGCCTCTGCAAACCTGGCAGCAAAGTGGGTAATAAGGGGGCGGTTTTATCCAGCCTGTCAAACTGGGGATGCTGTTGTCGCTTTAGTGCAAGAAATGTAGAATAATTTCACACCTCTTTCTCGACATACACCGGGAGTAAATAGGGGTAGAGCAGATGGGGCTACTGCTCCAGGAGAAGCGGATGGAAGACCCATCAGCACAGTCAATGCACAGAATTTTTTAAATTCTGGCACATTGATGAGGGCCGATTGCTGCTTTGCCAGAAAAGAGTCCGACTTTTAAGAACAGAACTAATGGGCATATAAATTAGAAACATAGAATGTGACGGCAGATAAGAACCATTCGGTCCATCTAGTCTGCCCAATTTTCTAAATACTTTCATTAGTCCCTAGTATAGGATAGCCTTATGCCTATCCCACGCATGCTTAAACTCCTTTACTGTGTTAACCTTTACCACTTCAGCTGGAAGGCTATTCCATGCATCCACTACCCTCTCAGTAAAGTAATACTTCCTGATATTTTTTAAACCGTTGTCCCTCTAATTTAAGACTATGTCCTCTTGTTGTGGTAGTTTTTCTTCTTTTAAATATAGTCTCCTCCTTTACTGTGTTGATTCCCTTTATATATTTAAATGTTTCTATCATATCCCCCCTGTCTCGTCTTTCCTCCAAGCTATACATGTTAAGATCCTTTAACCTTTCCTGGTAAGTTTTATCCCGCAATCCATGAACCAGTTTAGTAGCCCTTCTCTGAACTCTCTCTAAGGTATCAATATCCTTCTGAAGATACGGTCTCCAGTACTGTGTACAATACTCCAAGTGAGGTCTCACCAGTGTTCTGTACAATGGCATGAGCACTTCCCTCTTTCTACTGCTAATACCTCTCCCTATACAACCAAGCATTCTGCTAGCATTTCCTTTAAGTCACCTTTAAGTCATCAGAAATAATCACCTCTAAATCCATTTCCTCATATGTTGAGGTTAGGACTATCAAATATTCTGTACTCTGCCCTTGGGTTTTTACGTCCAAAAAGCATTATCTTGCACTTATCCACATTAAATGTCAGTTGCCACAATTCTGACCATTTTCCTAGTTTACCTAAATTATTTGCCATTTGGCTTATTCCTCCTGGAACATCAACTCTGTTACATATCTTAGTATCATCAGCAAAAAGACATACCTTACCATCAAGACCTTCTGCAATATCACTAATAAAAATATTAAAGAGAATGGGTCAAGTACAGATCCCTGAGGTACCCCACTAGTGACAAGTCCAAGCTTCGAATATATTCCATTAACTACAACCCTCTGTTGCCTGTCACTCAGCCACTGCCTTACCCATTCAACAATATTTGAATCCAAACTTAAAGATTGCAGTTTATTGATAAGACTTCTATGTGCAACAGTGTCAAAAGCCTTACTGAAATCTAGGTAAGCAATGTCTACTGCACCACCCTGATCTATAATTTTAGTTACTCAATCAAAAAAATCAATAAGATTAGTTTGACATGATCTCCCTGAAGTAAACTCATGTTGTCTCTGATCTTGAAATCCATGTGTTTTTAGATGTTCAACAATCCTATCCTTTAACATGGTTTCCATCACTTTCCCTCCTACTGAAGTAAGGCTTACTGGCCTATAGTTGCCCGACTCCTCCCTATTACCTTGTAAATGGGCACGACATTCGCTAACTTCCAATCTTCTGGGACTACTTCTGTTAACAATGATTGGTTAAATACATCTGTTAATGGTTTTGCTAGTACACCACTAAGCTCTTTTAATAGCTTTGGGTGTATTCCATCAGGTCCCATTGACTTATTTGTCTTTACTTTTGACAGTTGAAATAGAACCTCTTCCTCTGTAAACTTACGTGTAATAAATGACTCATTTATCATTTTTCTTAACTGAGGTCCCTTTCCTTCATTTTCCTCTGTAAATACAGAACAAAAATATTCATTGAGGCAGTCAGCTAAACCTTTATCCTCTTCTACATACCTTCCTTCTTTTGTTTTTAATCTAACTAATCGTTGTTTTACTTTTCTTTTCTCATTTAAGTATCTAAAAAATGTTTTGTCCCCCTTTTTTACTGACTGTGCTATTTTCTCTTCTGTGTGTGATTTGGAAGCTCTTATAACTTGCTTAGCCTCTTTCTGCCTCATCTTATAGATCATTTTGTCTTCCTCACTCTGGGTTTTTTTATAATTCCTAAATGCTAACTTTTTGTTTTTAACTATTTTGGCCACATCTGCGGAGTACCACAGTGGTTTTTTGAATTTTTTGCTTTTACTGACAAGCCTAATACAATTTTCTGTTGCCTTCAATAGTGCAACTTTTAAATAATCCCATTTCTCTTGGACTCCATTTAAATTGCTCCAGTCTGATAATGACTCCTCTACACATATTCTAATTTTAGAAAAGACTGTTTTTCTAAAGTCTAAAACTTTTGTTTTTGTGTGGTGTGACTCAGTCACTGTTCTTATATTAAACCACACTGACTGATGATCACTGGATCCTAAACTTTCACCTATAGTAATATCTGATACCAAATCTCCATTTGTTAACACTAAATCTAGTATGGCCTCTTTACGAGTTGGCTCCTGAACAACTTGTTTTAGAGACAATCCCAGTAGGGAGTTTAGAATATGTGTGCTCCTGGCACAAGTAGCTAATTTTGTTTTCCAATTTACATTAGGAAGATTAAAGTCACCCATGATGATAACTTCCCCCTTCATTGTCATTTTAGCTATTTCCTCAACTAGTAGATTATCTAACTCTTCAATTTGTCCTGGGGGCCTATAAATCACACCTACATGAGTTACTGTGTGATTACCAAATTCTAACGTAACCCAAATGGACTCTATGTTTGCCTCACTAACTTTTATTAGGCTAGATTTTATGCTATCCTTCACATACAGGGCCACCCCTCCCCCTTTCGTGCCTTCCCTATCTTTTCTATATAAACAGTACCCTGGTATTGCTATGTCCCAGTCATTTTTCTCATTATACCATGTCTCAGTAACAGCAACTAAATCTACACTATCAGTTGCCATTATTGCCACAAGTTCATGGATCTTTTTCCCTAAACTGCGAGCATTTGTAGACATGACTCTAAGCTTATCATTTAGTTTGGGCGACAATGTTCCCCCATACATCATCGCCCAGAAACACCTCCATAAACTGTTGTGAGCTAAATCTTGCAACATCCACATTGATGCCAGGATTTGCAGTGAAGGGTGGGATATCTGGCTTCTGGAGATGAGGCACTACCCACTCTTCAGCAGCACGTCTCCTTCTGGCAGGAGGCCTAGCAGACACAGATACATCACTAGCAGCAGACACTGTATCTAGTGATATATCTGAGCACCTGGCAGGGTCAAAATCAGTCAAACATAGACACGTCAGACTCTAACACAAGGATGGCATACGCCTCCTCAGCGCTATACGGCCTCTCACAATCACTTCATTTAGTGATCTGTCACAAAAAAAAAAATATTAACCCCTAAATAAATGCACAGACAGCAAAAAAGTGCTGCTATGCAAGACCAGTGGTTTATAGTTATTACTGGCAAGATAGGGGATAATGGCTCTGAAAAGAGCCTTTGGGTTTCACAATTTTAGAAATTCCTACCTAAATCTCTCAACCTAAACACAGATCTCTCTTTCTCTCTCTCTCTCTCTCTTAATAAAACTAAAACACAAGTGAGGAGAGGGAGGGAGATCCAAACTGATCAGAGTCAATATTTACTAATATTGACCTTACTAGACAAATGGGGATCATAGTAATAATAACATTGTTATAGTGGCAAGCTCTGATAGCCTGCCCCCAGAAGCCCCATGATGCACTGGATTTAGAAAGGCACACATATTTGAAACCACATGGCTGGGGGGTTAATACATTGATTTTATTCTTTTTTTTTATTGATTTTTTTAATTATTATAATTTTTTTTAATGTATTATTTAACCCCTTAAGGATGGCTGGCATTCTGTGTTGTGCTTAAAGAAGCGGCTCTAAACGTCGCAGAGCGTCATAGAACGCCCAAACCGTCCTTTGTACTTACCTGGTTGACGTTCAAATTAGTTTTTTGCATTTTCAAATATTAACACTAATTTTGGCCAGTGTTTGTGACCAAGTGGCTACTAAAAAAGACTGGGAATACCCGATTTGCAATACCTTGGGTGTTTTCAAAAGTTACAGCGTCAAATATAAGGCTTGCGTTTCATTTTTTTCACATTAAAATTCGCCAGATTGGTTACGATGCCTTTGAGACCCTATGGTAACCCGAGAATGAAAATTACCCCTATGATGGCATATCATTTGCAATAGTAGACAACCCAAGGTATTGCAAACGGGGTATGTCCAGTCTTTTTTAGTAGCCACTTAGTCACAAATACTGGCCAAAATTGGCGTTTTTTTGCATTTTTCACACAAACAAATACTAACGCTAACTTTGGCCAGTTTTTGTGACCAAATGGCTACTAAAAAAGACTGGACATACGACGTACAGCAAGGTTGTCTATATTGCAAATGGTATGCCATTATGGGTGTAAATTTCATTCAGCTACTATAAATTAAAAGGCAACATAACCAATCTGGTGAATTTCAATTTCAAATGTAGCGTGCTATGGCCTGTAACTTCCCAAAATGCCAAAAACACCTGTACATAGGGTACTTCTTTTGCGTGAGACTTTGCTGGACACAAATATATTGTATTTATTGCAGTAAAGCAAACAGTATTATGTTTTGACAGTTAAAATATGTGTAGAACTAAAAAAAATCTTATTTTCTCCAATTTTTTTCATATTAAATTATGTTTCATAGCTAAATATTTGAAATGAAATGAAATCCCTGTTTCCCCTGAATAAAATGATATATAATAAGGGTGGGAGCATTTAATATGAAAGAGGTGAATTACGGTTGGACAGACATGTAGCGCAAATGCCAGGTTTTGTTTACATTTTGTTTCGTTCACAACGTGTACATTTGGCTCCGTCCTTAAGGGGTTAAGGACAGAGCTTCAAAAGCTTGTCTTTCACTTAATGACAACGACATTTTTTTCATTTTTTGCTGTTTGCGTTCAACTGCAATTTGCATTTTACTAATTTGTTGCACCAACACATATTATACATCGTTTTTTAAAGGACAGAAAGGGCTTTAATTTGATGTAACACACCTATATATATATATAAATGCTTATTTATTATAAAAAAAATATAGAAAAAAGGAAAAAAATGAAAATTTTGTGGTTTTTTTGTTTTTGTTTTTTTACAGTTTTTGCAATAATGTGTGCATAATTAATGCAGGTTAAGAAAAGTAATTAAAAATAAATTAATTTAGTTGTTCTGATTTACAGAATATATAATGTGTCTGGGATTTTAAGTTTTTTTTGGTAGTTACAGGTCACAAAGCACAAGGAGTAAAATAGACTTTTAATGTGGAGCGATTTTAGAATTTGGTATGTTTGTCTTGTAAGCTTAATAGCCATAAAAGAAAACAAAATTGCCACACAAAAGTATTTATTTATATAAAGTAAACATCACGGGCTATTTACCTAAGGTTGTTTTGACACTTTCTACGTAGCCATTTCACCGCCAACCTCTGCTAAATATTGGAGTAAAATTGTGTTTTTTTTTGGTTTTTGGCACACAAACTTATAACAAAGAAATTCTTGTGTATATATTGTAAAGTTGGTGTGTGCTATTCCTGTACAAAGTTTTATTTTGTGTTCAGTTACATCTGCTGAGTAAAATGACACCCCCATTGTATGTCTTTGGCACTATTTCGTGAAGTTACAGTGCCATATAGGAGACCTGTCCTTTACAGTATTCACAGTAGAATTTTGAGAGATGGATTTAATGAGCCTTAGCTTCCATTTGGGGTATTATAACAGTTTGACTGTTCAAAAACCCCCCACAAAGGCCTACCATTTGTAAAAGGAGACACTCCAGGGTATCTCATAAGGTGCATATACCCCCATTTTTTCACCAATATATGCCAAAGTATGTGGTAAAAAATTATTTTGTGCATTTTTTACATACGGATTGCATTTTTGCTGGGCGTTTTGTATATTTCATATGTGCCACTAAGTTCAAACTTCCCAGATTATGCTCAGTCTTCGGAGTAAAAAGACACCCCCAATGAATGTCTTTGGCACTATTTCGTGAAGCTACAGTGCCATATAGGAGACCAAGCCATATCCGTTTTTACCAAACTTTGAATTTTGACGCTGGGCCTATGTGCAATTTCCAAGCATCTTCGCAGGTTTTAAATTCAAACTACCCCACAAGGCCTACCATTTCTTAAAGTAGACACCCCAGGGTGTTTCAAAAGGTATAGTTTGAACCTTAGCGTGGGATCATTTTTCCGCTAGCTTGTACCAGATGTAGTGGTAATAAGCGTTTTTTCTGCCTTTTTGACATACAAAGTGAGTTTGCACAGTGTATTTTGCAAACCTTATGTGTGCTATGACTGTATAATACTTCATATGTTGCTAAACTATGTCAGCTGAGTACAGCAATACCCTGTATGTACCTTTGCCAGGTATATGTGGATGTTGAAGGGGCGCATTTGAGACGCAGCCATTCAGTTTTTTTCTAACTTTGAAGTTTTACGCTGTGTCCATGTTCCAGTTTGGAGTAGTTTAGACGGTTGGTTATTGAAACTTCCCCACAAACACATACTATTTATTAAAGAATACACCCTGGGGTAATTCAAAAGGCATATTTTGAACCTTGGCGTGGGATAATTTTTTCTCTAGTTTGTTCCAGGTGTAGTGGTAATGAGCGTTTTTAAAATGTATTTTTTACTTTTTATAACTTTTTTACTTTTAAAAACTAGTTTTTAAACTTTTGTTTTGCTTATTAATTTTTTTTAAACTTTCCTAAACTTTTTTTTTTTTTACAGATTTAACATTTTTCTAAGCTTTTTTTTAGCGTTAACCCCTAACTAGCAGTACGCAGCACTAACAGTAAATTCCCCATAACTCCCACCCAACCCAGCTAGCAAAATATATAGTTATAAAATATTTAAATTAATTAAATAAATTGAACCCCTGATGGTTAAAAAATAAATAAAAAGTTAATCCTCAGGGGCTAAAAAAAATTAGATCACAGTATAATAATAGTGAAGGGGTTAATTTTTATTTGGACTAGGTAAAGGGTTTTTTTAAAAAATTTTTTTACTTAAACGTTATTAAAACATTTTTTTAAGCTTAATTTTTAACTTTTTAAAGTTTATTTTAAAACTTTAATGTTAACCCCTAGTTAGCCTAACGCCAAATCCCCCAATTCCCCACTAACTTCCACCCACCCCAGCTAGCTAAATATATCATTTTAAAATATTTTAATTAATTAAATTTAACCCCTGAGGGGTTAAAAAAAAAAAAATCAGATCATAGTAAAATGTAATCCCTGCCAATTGATCACTGTAGTCAGTGATCAATTGGCAGGGAAGGGGTTAATTTTTTTAATAAAATGGGTAAGGGGGGGGGACTTTAACTTTATTTTTTTAACAGCAGGGGGCAGGATCAGCACTGTTCCGGCTCCCTGCACTTCACACAGAACCAGGAAGTGCAGGGAGCCGGAAGGTAAGTATACAGAGCACATGTGCTCGCTCTGACTTGCGGTCAGAGCGAGCACATGTGCTGGGCAGCCTGACCGGGTGCTCCCGGTCTGCCTCTAATGCAGAGGCAGACCGGAGCACCATTAACCCCGCGATCGCCGCGATAGCGGCGATCCAGGGTTAATTTTACCGCGTGAAGGGCGTGGTCCGTCACTCGTCATTAAGGGTCTCCCTTCTGTGACGGACCTCGTCCGTCAACCGTCGTTAAGGGGTTATAAAAAAAAATGAATTCTTTTAAAATGTATTCCCGATGGCTTCAGATGCTCTACAACCCTGCAGGGCGCCAGGTGGAGTGATTACTCGGCGGCCCGGTAGTCAGGAGAGGTATTGCAGGATGCATCGCTGCAATACCCTTAGAGTGTCTGCAAGTGATCATGATTGCTTCCGTTTGCCGCAGACATACCAGGTATGTCCGAGGTTGTTAATGACCGTTTTTTTGTTGGACATACCTGGTACGCCCGCGGTCACAAAGAGGTTAAACTTGCATCCAAACATCTTCCATCTACTCCCAAGGACATCCTAGGACGGCACTTTCAACAAATCAAGTTCATCTGGTAACGTATAATGTGCTATTGATTAAGTATACCTTATTTTATGGTGGAAGGAATTAGTTAATCTACATTGGCAAATATATATATATTTATTTCAATCATTTAGTAATGTTTATTACTATATACTACTGTTTGGTGTGAGGTACTTCACCTAAATATTACTCAACTTCTTTTTATTTTTGCTATATCTGGAATATTCAAAGTTAATTAGTGTAATATTGCTAACTATCTTAAAGGGACACTATAGTCACCAAAACAACTTTAGCTTAATAAAGCAGTTTTGGTGTCTGGATCATGTCCCTGCAGTCTCACTGCTCAATTCTCTACCATTTAGGAGTTAAATCACTTTGTTTATGAACCCTAGTTACACCTCCCTGCATGTGAATTGCACTGCCTT